AAGATCCGGGCTAGAATAGGTCTTCAGCAACCCATACTTGCCGTAAAAGGCAACATTGCTTGTCGTAAAAGGCGACTAACGGGATGGGGTGGTCGGACTCGCTGACTCGGTTGATACATGTCATCGATCCCAATTGCGTGGATCGATGTTCATGCTGTCAATCACTTGATTGTCTGGTCCAGACTTGATTATTTACAGACCGCCGTCATATAGCTGGAATATTGCCGAGTGCGACGTTAAACAACAAACAAACAAACAAACAAACATTTCCACCAGTACTTCTTTGGATTCATGTCGACCACAACTACAGAGGGTGATTGCACTGTCACCATGAACAACTAGTTTGCCAGCCATGGACAGCAAACACAACGGAAGTAAGTAAGGTTTTGGCCAGGTCCATGTTTGGGGTGTAGGGATGGTCATTCTGAAGATATTGTACTGTTGGTGAGATATTTCAAGCCAACTACTACATAAGTACAACTCAAAATAACTAAGATCCTGTTATTTAATAAAGTTGTTGGAGAAATAAATTCATTCAGCATTTTTTTCATTTTTTCGTCAACCTGTCACCCCTGGCAGGTGTCATGTTGATTTTCACAAATGAAGGGTAAAAAGAAATGGACTGGTTGAATCCAATTGGGGGTATATGCAATAGGTTGTGGGGAAATTATAACATAATTGAAGGGTTATTTGACAACTTCTATTTGAAAAAAGTATGTGTTTAAACCGTTACTTGGAACTTGTCAAGACTATGAGTATTTTAACCTTGAACTTTTGTACTTATGTGTAATTACGTGTTCCAAGGGAGCACAGTTTTCAAAGTGCACTTGCCGTCATGGTAGAATGGAGATAACCCTATTGTGTTTTGAAATTTCATGTAGTCCCACTGTAGGTTAGGTACCTCTTATTTTGATTTAAAACCATGGGCTTTATCTCCTAATTGTAGAGAATGGGAAACGAGTGAGTGAGTTTTATTTTACGCCACTTTTAGCAACATTCCAGCAGTATCACAGCGGGGGACACCAGAAATGGATTTGTATGTGACAATAAGTCAGACAGATGTAATATTTGGTTGTGTCTGGTCGAAATCCAATGAAATGTACACATAGGTCGATGGAGTTTGCTGTCATTCCAATCAATGACAGACATTCCAGTGGTGAGATAAACCATAGAGGGATCAAGGCTAATCCTGTCAGATCAATTATGATTTAGAACCAATGAATCATAACTTGTATGTTTCAGAAAGGTTAATACATCACATCGGCCAAGAAGGTAAAGGGCTTCTCCAGATGATTTATATCTTGTCACTCTAGCACTTTCTGACCAGGTATCTTTAGATTTGTCTGTCATGGTAAATGATATTAGAATAGCATGGCTGACCAGGGGATTGATATTTACGATGGTTGTGTATTTCGACTCGTCCTGATTGGGTTAGGTTGACTGACAGCATCTGGCCATTCTTCTGAGGGGACCAGGACAGTGCCGGAGGTATTCGAGGAAGCAAATTGAGTTTACGATTGGTCGAGTTCTTTTTCATTGAAGATTCATCAATTTGGGGTAAGACTTGAGCGTTAAGGTCTTGGTGTAATCTTGATTGATTCTGACGACCTGTCGCTAGTTTCAGTGATTTGTGTTTAATTTTGTAACAGGTAATTTACTATCGCCATGAAATAAACATCCAGAAGTTGTCTCCAGAAAGCATTGTATTGTGCAGTGTAAAGACATGAGACATTATAGAATTTTCAGAACCAGTTTCAAGAGGTTCAATAGTAATTACATGAGAAATAGAGGTCACTGCACAAAAGGTTAAAATTACTTGGAGCTTTTCTCAAAAGGCAGTCTGACATTTTCGTTGTGTTGTCGAGACATGTTTTAGCTGAATTCAGAAAATTGGTCACTAATTGGTACACGTGATAAAATTGTCTCTTGAGAACTAATGTAGCATTAAAACTGCCACCTTGGGACATGGTCACGTCAAAAGGAGATAAAAAAAGATTTGTTTCTCTTAATCAGGAGACCATAATGAGGAGAAAAAAAGGGAAACTTACCAGGCCTAGCTGATTTTTTCTCCCTGACAAGTAATATTGGTTTTTGCTTTGGTCAGAACTCAGCTGCAGTAGCAGGAGACTGATAGCCAGGGTATATTAACTTACTAGTAGAATAACCAGAAGGGGTGAAGTGGCACCTTTAAAAAATAATTTTGAACAATTACCACACAGTTATCTGGGTCACATGGCCAGTATGAATGCCAGGGCAGATAGGTCTTCGGTAGGGTTGTCCGGGATACACATAGCTACGTTGGTTACAGGGCAGAATAGGTCTTCAGAATGGTTGTTAGGGATACACACAGTTACCTGGGTTACAGGGCAGATAAGTTCTTGGAGATTGGAGCACAGATAAGGGTGGAGATTGGGAAGGAGATTGGGTTGTAGATCGGGGTGGAGATCGGGATGGAGATGGTGGTGGAGATGGGGGATCGGGATGTAGATCGGTGTGGAGATCAGGATGGAGATGGTGGGTGGAGATGAGGGTGGAGATTGGAGTGTAGATGAGGGTGGAGATGGTGTGTTGAGATGGGGGATCGGGGTGGAGATGGTGGGTTGAGATGAGGATGGAGATTGGAGTGTAGATGAGGGTGGAGATGGTGGGTGGAGATGGGGGATCGGGCTGGAGATCGGGATGGAGATGGTGGTGGAGATTGGGGATCGGGATGTAGATAGGTGTGGAGATCGGGATGGAGATGGTGGGTGGAGATTGGGATGGAGATGGTGGTGGTGATTGGGGGATCGGGATCGAGATTAGGGTACAGATGAGGGTGGAGGAGGGGCAGATGAGGGGCAGATGAGGGTGGAGATTGGGAAGGAGACTAGGGTGCAGATGAGAGTGGAGATCAGGATGGAGATGAGGGTGGAAATCGGGATGGAGATGAGGGTGGAGATTGGGGTGGAGATCGGGGTGGAGATTGGGGTGGAGATCGGGATGGAGATCGTGATGAGATTGGGAGAAGATCAGGATGGTGATTGGAGTGGAGATCGGGGTGGAGATTGGAGTGCAGATGAGGGTTGAGATGGTGGGTGGAGATTGGGATGGAGATGAGGGTGGAGATTGGATTACAGATGAGGGTTGAGATTGTGGTGGAGATGAGGGTGGAGATTGGATTACAGATGAGGGTTGAGATTGTGGTGGAGATTGTGGTGGAGATAAGGGTGGAGATTGTGGTGGAGATGAGGGTGGAGATTGGGATGGAAATTGGGGTGGAGATGAGGGTGGAGATTGGGATGGAAATTGGGGTGGAGATGAGGGTGGAGATTGGGATGGAGATTGGGATGGAGATAAGGGTGGAGATTGGGATGGAGATGAGGGTGGAGATGAGGGTGGAGATCAGGATGGATATTGGGATGGAGATTGGGGTGGAGATTGGGATGGAGATCAGGATGGAGATTGGGGTGGAGATTGGGATGGAGATGAGGGTGGAGATTGGGATGGAGATTGGGGTGGAGATTGGGATGGAGATCAGGATGGAGATCAGGATGGAGATTGGGGTGGAGATTGGGATGGAGATCAGGATGGAGATCAGGATGGAGATTGGGGTGGAGATGAGGGTGGAGATTGGGATGGAGATTGGGGTGCAGATTGGGATGGAGATGAGGGTGAAGATTGGGATGGAGATCAGGATGGAGATTGGGGAAGAAATCGGGATGAGATGAGGGTGGAGATTGGGGTGGAGATGAGGGTGGAGATTGGGGTGGAGATGAGGGTGGAGACTGGGATGGAGATTGGGGTGGAGATTGGGGTGGAGATGAGGGTGGAGATTGGGATAAAGATTGGGGTGGAGATTGGGGTGGAGATGAGGGTGGAGATTGGGGTGGAGATGAGGGTGGAGATCAGGATGGAGATTGGGGAGGAAATCGGGATGAGATGAGGGTGGAGATTGGGGTGGAGATGAGAGTGGAGATCGGGGCGGAGATTGTGGTGGAGATAAGGGTGGAGATTGTGGTGGAGATTGTGGTGGAGATTGGGATGGAAATTGGGGTGGAGATGAGGGTGGAGATTGGGATGGAAATTGGGGTGGAGATGAGGGTGGAGATTGGGATGGAGATTGGGATGGAGATAAGGGTGGAGATTGGGATGGAGATGAGGGTGGAGATGAGGGTGGAGATCAGGATGGATATTGGGATGGAGATTGGGGTGGAGATTGGGATGGAGATCAGGATGGAGATTGGGGTGGAGATTGGGATGGAGATGAGGGTGGAGATTGGGATGGAGATTGGGGTGGAGATTGGGATGGAGATCAGGATGGAGATCAGGATGGAGATTGGGGTGGAGATTGGGATGGAGATCAGGATGGAGATCAGGATGGAGATTGGGGTGGAGATGAGGGTGGAGATTGGGATGGAGATTGGGGTGCAGATTGGGATGGAGATGAGGGTGAAGATTGGGATGGAGATCAGGATGGAGATTGGGGAAGAAATCGGGATGAGATGAGGGTGGAGATTGGGGTGGAGATGAGGGTGGAGATTGGGGTGGAGATGAGGGTGGAGACTGGGATGGAGATTGGGGTGGAGATTGGGGTGGAGATGAGGGTGGAGATTGGGATAAAGATTGGGGTGGAGATTGGGGTGGAGATGAGGGTGGAGATTGGGGTGGAGATGAGGGTGGAGATCAGGATGGAGATTGGGGAGGAAATCGGGATGAGATGAGGGTGGAGATTGGGGTGGAGATGAGAGTGGAGATCGGGGCGGAGATGAGGGTGGAGATTGGGGTGGAGATGAGGGTGGAGATTGTGGTGGAGATTGTGGTGAAGATGAGGGTGGAGATTGTGGTGGAGATGAGGGTGGAGATTGTGGTGGAGATGAGGGTGGAGATGAGGGTGGAGATTGTGGTGAAGATGAGGGTGAAGATGAGGGTGGAGATGAGGGTGGAGATTGTGGTGGAGATGAGGGTGGAGATTGTGGTGAAGATGAGGGTGGAGATTGTGGTGGAGATGAGGGTGGAGATTGTGGTGGAGATGAGGGTGGAGATTGTGGTGGAAATTGTGGTGGAGATGAGGGTGGAGATGAGGGTGAAGATGAGGGTGGAGATGAGGGTGGAGATGAGGGTGGAGATTGTGGTGGAGATGAGGGTGGAGATTGTGGTGGAGATGAGGGTGGAGATTGTGGTGGAGATTGTGGTGAAGATTTGGGTGGAGATGAGGGTGGAGATTGGGATGGAGATTGGGGTGGAGATTGTGGTGGAGATGAGGGTGGAGATTGTGGTGGAGATGAGGGTGGAGATTGTGGTGGAGATGAGGGTGGAGATCGGGGCGGAGATGAGGGTGGAGATTGGGGTGGAGATGAGGGTGGAGATTGTGGTGGAGATGAGGGTGGAGATTGGGATGGAGATTTGGGTGGAGATTGGGGTGGAGATGAGGGTGAAGATTGGGATGGAGATTGGGGTGGAGATTGTGGTGGAGATGAGGGTGGAGATTGTGGTGGAGATGAGGGTGGAGATCGGGTTGGAGATGAGGGTGGAGGAGGTGCAGATGAGGGTGGAGATTGGAAAGGAGATTAGGGTGCAGATGAGAGTGGAGATCAGGATGGAGATTGGGGAGGAAATCAGGATGGAGATGAGGGTGGAGATTTGAGTGCAGATGAGGCTGGAGATGAGGGTGGAGGTTGTGGTGGAGATGAGGGTGGAGATTGTGGTGGAGATGAGGGTGGAGATTGGGATGGAGATAAGGGTGGAGATTGGGATGGAGATGAGGATGGAGATCGTGGTGGAGATGAGGGTGGAGATGGTGGGTGGCGATGAGGGTAGAGATTGGGATGGAGATAAGGGTGAGATTAGGCTGGAAATCGGGGTGGAGATTGAGGTGGAGATGAGGGTGGAGATTGGGATGGAGATTGGGGTGGAGATTGTGGTGGAGATGAGGGTGGAGATCGGGGCGGAGATGAGGGTGGAGATTGAGGTGGAGATGAGGGTGGAGATTGGGGTGGAGATGAGGGTGGAGATTGTGGTGGAGATGAGGGTGGAGATTGGGGTGGAGATGAGGGTGGAGATTGGGATGGAGATTGTGATGGAGATGAGGGTGGAGATTGTGGTGGAGATGAGGGTGGAGATCGGGTTGGAGATGAGGGTGGAGGAGGTGCAGATGAGGGTGGAGATTGGAAAGGAGATTAGGGTGCAGATGAGAGTGGAGATCAGGATGGAGATTGGGGAGGAAATCAGGATGGAGATGAGGGTGGAGATTTGAGTGCAGATGAGGGTGGAGATTAGGGTGGAGATGAGGATGGAGATGGTGGGTGGAGATGAGGGTGGAGATTGTGGTGGAGATGAGGGTGGAGATTAGGGTGGAGATGAGGGTGGAGATGGTGGGTGGAGATTGTGGTGGAGATGAGGGTGGAGATTGTGGTGGAGATGAGGGTGGAGATTGTGGTGGAGATGAGGGTGGAGATTGTGGTGGAGATGAGGGTGGAGATGGTGGGTGGAGATGAGGGTGGAGATGGTGGGTGGAGATGAGGGTGGAGATTGGGATGGAGATAAGGGTGGAGATTGGGATGGAGATGAGGGTGGAGATCGTGGTGGAGATGAGGGTGGAGATTGGGATGGAGATAAGGGTGGAGATTGGGATGGAGATGAGGATGGAGATCGTGGTGAAGATGAGGGTGGAGATGGTGGGTGGAGATGAGGGTGGAGATTGTGGTGGAGATGAGGGTGGAGATTGTGGTGGAGATAAGGGTGGAGATTGTGGTGGAGATTGTGGTGGAGATGAGGGTGGAGATGGTGGGTGGAGATGAGGGTGGAGATGGTGGGTGGAGATGAGGGTGGAGATTGGGATGGAGATAAGGGTGGAGATGAGGGTGGAGATTAGGCTGGAAATCGGGGTGAAGATGAGGGTAGAGATTAGGGTGGAGATGAGGGGGGAGATGAGGGTGGAGATGAGGGTGGAGATAAGGGTGGAGATTGGGATGGAGATGAGGGTGGAGATGGTGGGTGGAGATGAGGGTGGAGATGGTGGGTGGAGATGAGGGTGGAGATGGTGGGTGGAGATGAGGGTGGAGATGGTGGGTGGAGATGAGGGTGGAGATGAGGGTGGAGATTGGGATGGAGATAAGGGTGGAGATCAGGGTGGAGATTAGGCTGGAAATCGGGGTGAAGATGAGGGTAGAGATTAGGGTGGAGATGAGGGGGGAGATGAGGGTGGAGATCGGGGTGGAGATTAGGCTGGAAATCGGGGTGGAGATGAGGGTGGAGATGAGGGTGGAGATTAGGCTGGAAATCGGGGTGGAGATGAGGGTGGAGATCGTGGAGATGAGGGTGGAAATTGGGTTGGAGATGAAGGTGGAGATCAGGATGGAGATGAGGGTGGAGATTAGGGTGGAGATTAGGGTGGAGATCGTGGAGATGAGGGTGGAGATCGGGGTGGAGATGAGGGTGAAAATCGGGGTGGAGATTTGGGTGATGAGGGTGGAGATTGGAGATTAGGGTGGAGATCGGGGTGGAGACTAGGTGGAATAAGAAAACTGACTTTGAGATGGGGGAAAAGATATTTCTTGCCTCATTAAGCTAAACTTTAATCATCAGTGTGAAACCTTTGTTTCTCAAAGCTGAATCACTTATATCAGTGCTGAACATTTCATCTCAGAAGTTCATATTTTGCTGGGGGAAGATTTTGTTTTGCCCCAAAATATAATCTTTTCTTGTCAAAGCAAAGTCATTCATCTCAAAGCTAAAGCTTTTCTCTCAAAGGTGAACTTTTTGTGTTAGTGCCAAACATTTCATTTCAAAACAAAAGATTTACCAGGAAAAGAGTTACCGTTTTCTCTATAAACTAAACTTTCCTCTCAAAAGCAAAACATTTCTCTCAATTTAAACCTTTCTCCTCAAAGGTAAACCTTTTTTTTGAAAGCTAAACCTTTAATCTCAGTGCTAGACATTTCATCTCAAAACTAACATTTTCATATCAAAACAGTACTTGCATCACATGGCTGAACATTTCATTTTGGTTTCAACCCTCCTGTGATATTGATTGAGGGAATGTTGTTACTCACCCATCCATAAACTGACTATTTCATGGGTTGATATCCTTACCTCAGGAGGTAAGAATCATTCTTGCTCCATGGTTAAATCATGAACATTACTGTCAGCACTAGCACCAACTGGGTACTTCCTGAAGTGTTCAGTGCACCAACAAGTGCGGTGTATCTGGTTCTCTATGTACAAGCACCAACTGGATTGTTGCCATATTCTTGAAAAAAAATGCACAGTGGACCAGAGAAATGGATGTTTTTTAATTAGTTTTGAATTTTCTTGTGTGTTTCAGAAAACTTTTTCATAGACAATTCAAATGGTACTTCTAAGGCAATGAAAGTTAAGATTCTCATGATCATTGAAAACATGCTGTTTGAACACATCTTTGTTAGTAAGATGATTCATTTTTGCCTTTGTTTGGTATAATATCTGGTTTAACAATTAGTTTCATAAAAGTCCGGATTGTATGTTCAGATTTTTTTGAAATAGTAATCTTTCACTTCTCAAACTATGTCATGATGTCCCTTGATCTGAGGACAAACATCAATTTGTTTTCATGTACCAAGTCAGGCCTTGCTTTTCTGATTCCTTCTGTCAAAATCTTATCATTGATTGCAGCTCTTTCATGTATATGAGCCCCCCCTTCTGACTTATGACAATGCACGTCATGTTTTACATGGAGGATGTCTGTAGCATCAGCAAAGCTTTAATGATGACCTATACCAGAGCTGGTGCAACCCGGCCGGGGTGTCAATGGCGATCTCATTTCAGCGAGAAGCTTGTACATTACAGAGCAGGAGATGGACTAGACGCCGGGGTAATTGACTTGATGTGCTAAAGAAATTCACACTTTGTAGAGAATGAGTTCTCGGTTGGACCATCTACTGGTTCCTACTAGTTGAAGCTGGTGTCATCCAGTCATGAGGGTCTTATTGGAAACAGCAGAGTTGCGAGTGATTTCACAGAATTGTCTCAGCCCTAAGGGACCTCTTTTTGGCCTTTGGTTAAGTCATTTAGCATATTCCGTACATATAATGGACACAAGAGTGAAATTGGATTTTGCTTTTGTCTGTAGAATTTCACTAGAAGCAGTCAGTCAAATGAAAGGGAATCATTGTACAAATTGATACAAGGAGCGGAAAGAGCTGTAATGATAGGCTGATCAGTACACTGTAACAAGTACTTCCTTGTTTTCTCCATATGAAGAAGTCGTTTGCCAGATGTAGCAACTGGGCACGTGCATCAATTGTTTTGAACTGTTGCTCTACAGAAACTATTCATTCTTTTGCACACTGAAATAATTGAACATGAGTGTGCAATGATAATCTGTCCATCTGAATCTTGCATGGATGCATGATGTTCTAATTTAGCTCACCTGGGTTATGATTCCAGCTTGGTGAGGTTATGTAGTGTCATCTTTCATCAAACATGTCTTTAAAAAATCTTTTCCTATGAAACTACATGGAAAGTTCAAAGGTGGTTTACCAGTTCTTATTAATGATACCTTTATCTGTTCAAGACCTAGGATTTTCTTATGTTTTCAAAATGGCTGCCATAATAGACATTTGTCACAATATCCAAACAGTACTGAGAGGAGACCAAGATACACTCTCAGCAGTGACCTGACTCAGTGTGTCATTGTACTCCAACAGCGTGGATGGTACACCTTCAGCAGTGATCTGACTCAGTGTGACATTGTACCCCAACAGCATGGACAATACACCCTCAACATTGACCTGACTCAGTGTGTCATTGTACCCCAACAGCATGGACAATACACCCTCAGGAGTGACCTGACTCAGTCTGACATTGTACCCCAACAGCATGGACAATACACCCTCAACAGTGACCTGACACAGTGTGACATTGTACCCCAACAGCGTGGATGGTACACCCTCAGGAGTGACCTGACTCAGTGTGTCATTGTACCCCAACAGCATGGACAATACACCCTCAACAGTGACCTGACTCAATGTGTCATTGTACCCCAACAGCATGGATGGTACACCCTCAGGAGTTACCTGACTCAGTGTGTCATTGTACCCCAACAGCGTGGATGGTACACCCTCAGGAGTGACCTGACTCAGTGTGACCTTGTACCCCAACAGCGTGGATGGTACACCCTCAGGAGTGACCTGACTCAGTGTGTCATTGTACCCCAACAGCGTGGATGGTACACCCTCAGGAGTGACCTGACTCAGTGTGTCATTGTACCCCAACAGCATGGACAATACACCCTCAACAGTGACCTGACTCAATGTGTCATTGTACTCCAACAGCGTGGATGGTACACCCTCAGGAGTGACCTGACTCAGTGTGTCATTGTACCCCAACAGCGTGGATGGTACACCCTCAGGAGTGACCTGACTCAGTGTGTCATTGTACCCCAACAGCATGGACAATACACCCTCAACAGTGACCTGACTCAATGTGTCATTGTACTCCAACAGCGTGGATGGTACACCCTCAGGAGTGACCTGACTCAGTGTGTCATTGTACCCCAACAGCGTGGATGGTACACCCTCAACAGTGACCTGACTCAGTGTGTCATTGTACCCCAACAGCGTGGATGGTACACCCTCAGGAGTGACCTGACTCAGTGTGTCATTGTACCCCAACAGCTTGGACAATACACCCTCAGGAGTGATCTGACTCAGTGTGACCTTGTACCCCAACAGCATGGATGGTACACCCTCAGGAGTGACCTGACTCAGTGTGTCATTGTACCCAAGCAGCGTGGATGGTACACCCTCAGGAGTGACCTGACTCAGTGTGTCATTGTACCCCAACAGCATGGACAATACAATCTCAACAGTGACCTGACTCAATGTGTCATTGTACTCCAACAGCGTGGATGGTACACCCTCAGGAGTGACCTGACTCAGTGTGTCATTGCACCCCAACAGCGTGGATGGTACACCATCAACAGTGACCTGACTCAGTGTGTCATTGTACCCCAACAGCATAGACAATACACCCTCAACAGTGACCTGACTCAGTGTGTCATTGTTACCCCAACAGCATGGACAATACACCCTCAGCAGTGACCTGACTCACTGTGTCATTGTACCCCAACAGCGTGGACAATACACCATCAACAGTGACCTGACTCAGTGTGTCATTGTACCCCAACAGTATGGACAATACACCCTCAGGAGTGACCTGACTCAGTGTGTCATTGTACTCCAACAGCGTGGATGGTACACTGTCAACAGTGACCTGACTCAGTGTGTCATTGTACCCCAACAGCATGGACAATACACTGTCAACAGTGACCTGACTCAATGTGTCATAGGACCCCAACAGCGTGGATGGTACACCATCAACAGTGACCTGACTCAGTGTGTCATTGTACCCCAACAGCATGGACAATACACTGTCAACAGTGACCTGACTCAGTGTGACATTGTACCCCAACAGCATGGACAATACACCCTCAACAGTGATCTGACTCAGTGTGTCATTGTACCCCAACAGCATGGACAATACACCGCCAACAGTGACCTGACTCAGTGTGTCATTGTACCCCAACAGCATGGACAATACACCCTCAGGAGTGACCTGACTCAGTGTGTCATTGTACCCCAACAGTATGGACAATACACCCTCAGGAGTGACCTGACTCAGTGTGTCATTGTACCCCAACAGCGTGGATGGTACACTGTCAACAGTGACCTGACTCACTGTGTCATTGTACCCCAACAGCATAGACAATACACCCTCAACAGTGATCTGACTCAGTGTGTCATTGTACCCCAACAGCATGGACAATACACCGCCAACAGTGACCTGACTCAGTGTGTCATTGTACCCCAACAGCATGGACAATACACCCTCAGGAGTGACCTGACTCAGTGTGTCATTGTACCCCAACAGCGTGGATGGTACACTGTCAACAGTGACCTGACTCACTGTGTCATTGTACCCCAACAGCATAGACAATACACCCTCAACAGTGACCTGACTCACTGTGTCATTGTACCCCAACAGCGTGGACAATACACCATCAACAGTGACCTGACTCAGTGTGTCATTGTACCCCAACAGTATGGACAATACACCCTCAGGAGTGACCTGACTCAGTGTGTCATTGTACTCCAACAGCGTGGATGGTACACCATCAACAGTGACCTGACTCAGTGTGTCATTGTACCCCAACAGCATGGATGGTACACCGTCAACAGTGACCTGACTCAGTGTATTCCCCAACAGCATGGACAAGGGACAGTTAATGGACCTCACAAACTTCATGAGTGACTGAGTAGGGTTTTACGCCGCTTTTATCATTATTCCAGCAATATCACAGCGGGGGACACCAGAAATGGGCTTCACACATTGTACCCATGTCGGGAATCGAACCTGGGTCTACGGCGTGACAAGCGAACGCTTTAACCACTTGGCTACCCGACCGCCCCACTTACTTCATGATAATACAGCAGGCTGCTTTAAACCACAGTTTCACAAAGTTTTCCAAGTGCTACAACTGTTAATCGCAGAAAGTGAATATGGAGTTGTGGAACACTGACAATATGTTATCCTTGCTTTCATCATCAGATAAAGAAGCCTACATGACCAAGACTACATATCAATGCCATGGCAATCCTTAGGTCTGCGGATCCAGTATTGGCTTACTGTACATTGTACCCCAACAGCATGGACAATACACCCTCAACAGTGACCTGACTCAGTGTGTCATTGTACCCCAACAGCGTGGACAATACACCGTCAACAGTGATCTGACTCAGTGTGACATTGTTACCCCAACAGCATGGACAATACACCCTCAACAGTGACCTGACTCAGTGTGTCATTGTACCCCAACAGCATGGACAATACACCCTCAGCAGTAACCCGACTCAGTGTGTCATTGTACCCCAACAGCATGGACAATACACCCCCAACAGTGACCTGACTCAGTGTGACATTGTACCCCAACAGCATGGACAATACACCCTCAACAGTGATCTGACTCAGTGTGTCATTGTACCCCAACAGCATGGACAATACACCGCCAACAGTGACCTGACTCAGTGTGTCATTGTACCCCAACAGCATGGACAATACACCCTCAGGAGTGACCTGACTCAGTGTGTCATTGTACCCCAACAGTATGGACAATACACCCTCAGGAGTGACCTGACTCAGTGTGTCATTGTACCCCAACAGCGTGGATGGTACACTGTCAACAGTGACCTGACTCACTGTGTCATTGTACCCCAACAGCATAGACAATACACCCTCAACAGTGATCTGACTCAGTGTGTCATTGTACCCCAACAGCATGGACAATACACCGCCAACAGTGACCTGACTCAGTGTGTCATTGTACCCCAACAGCATGGACAATACACCCTCAGGAGTGACCTGACTCAGTGTGTCATTGTACCCCAACAGCGTGGATGGTACACTGTCAACAGTGACCTGACTCACTGTGTCATTGTACCCCAACAGCATAGACAATACACCCTCAACAGTGACCTGACTCACTGTGTCATTGTACCCCAACAGCGTGGACAATACACCATCAACAGTGACCTGACTCAGTGTGTCATTGTACCCCAACAGTATGGACAATACACCCTCAGGAGTGACCTGACTCAGTGTGTCATTGTACTCCAACAGCGTGGATGGTACACCATCAACAGTGACCTGACTCAGTGTGTCATTGTACCCCAACAGCATGGATGGTACACCGTCAACAGTGACCTGACTCAGTGTATTCCCCAACAGCATGGACAAGGGACAGTTAATGGACCTCACAAACTTCATGAGTGACTGAGTAGGGTTTTACGCCGCTTTTATCATTATTCCAGCAATATCACAGCGGGGGACACCAGAAATGGGCTTCACACATTGTACCCATGTCGGGAATCGAACCTGGGTCTACGGCGTGACAAGCGAACGCTTTAACCACTAGGCTACCCGACCGCCCCACTTACTTCATGATAATACAGCAGGCTGCTTTAAACCACAGTTTCACAAAGTTTTCCAAGTGCTACAACTGTTAATCGCAGAAAGTGAATATGGAGTTGTGGAACACTGACAATATGTTATCCTTGCTTTCATCATCAGATAAAGAAGCCTACATGACCAAGACTACATATCAATGCCATGGCAATCCTTAGGTCTGCGGATCCAGTATTGGCTTACTGTACATTGTACCCCAACAGCATGGACAATACACCCTCAACAGTGACCTGACTCAGTGTGTCATTGTACCCCAACAGCGTGGACAATACACCGTCAACAGTGATCTGACTCAGTGTGACATTGTTACCCCAACAGCATGGACAATACACCCTCAACAGTGACCTGACTCAGTGTGTCATTGTACCCCAACAGCATGGACAATACACCCTCAGGAGTGACCTGACAGCATGGACAATACACCGTCAGGAGTGACCTGACTCAGTGTGTCATTGTACCCCAACAGCGTGGACAATACACTGTCAACAGTGATCTGGCTCAGTGTGACATTGTACCCCAACAGCATGGACAATACACCCTCAGGAGTGACCTGACAGCGTGGACAATACACCGTCAAGAGTGACCTGACTCAGTGTGTCATTGTACCCCAACAGCGTGGACAATACACTGTCAACAGTGATCTGACTCAGTGTGTCATTGTACCCCAACAGCGTGGACAATACACTGTCAACAGTGATCTGACTCAGTGTGACATTGTATCCCAACAGCATGGACAATACACCCTCAGGAGTGACCTGACTCAGTGTGTGTCATTGTACCCCAACAGCATGGACAATACACTGTCAACAGTGACCTGACTCAGTGTGACATTGTACCGCAACAGCATGGACAATACACCCTCAACAGTGACCTGACTCAGTGTGTCATTGTACCCCAACAGCATGGACAATACACCCTCAGCAGTAACCCGACTCAGTGTGTCATTGTACCCCAACAGCATGGACAATACACCCTCAACAGTGACCTGACTCAGTGTGTCATTGTACCCCAACAGCATGGACAATACACCCTCAGCAGTAACCCGACTCAGTGTGACATTGTACCCCAACGGCATGGACAATACACCCTCAGGAGTGACCTCACTCAGTGTGACATTGTACCCCAACAGCATGGACAATACACCGTCAGCAGTGACCTGACTCAGTTTGTCATTGTACCCCAACAGCATGGACAATACACCCTCAGGAGTGACCTGACTCAGTCTGACATTGTACCCCAACATCATGGACAATACACTGTCAACAGTGACCTGACCCAGTGTGTCATTGTACCGCAACAGCATGGACAATACACCCTCAGCAGTGACCTGACTCACTGTGTCATTGTACCCCAACAGCATGGACAATACACCCTCAGGAGTGACCTGACTCCGTGTGTCATTGAACCCCAACAGCGTGGATGGTACACCATCAACAGTGACCTGACTCAGTGTGTCATTGTACCCCAACAGCGTGGATGGTACACCATCAACAGTGACCTGACTCAGTGTGTCATTGTACCCCAACATCATAGACAATACACCCTCAACAGTGACCTGACTCAGTGTGTCATTGTTACCCCAACAGCATGGACAATACACCCTCAGCAGTGACCTGACTCACTGTGTCATTGTACCCCAACAGCGTGGACAATACACCATCAACAGTGATCTGACTCAGTGTGACATTGTACCCCAACAGCATGGATGGTACACCGTCAACAGTGACCTGACTCAATGTGTCATTGTACCCCAACAGCGTGGATGGTACACTGTCAACAGTGACCTGACTCAGTGTGTCATTGTACCCCAACAGCATGGACAATACACTGTCAACAGTGACCTGACTCAATGTGTCATAGGACCCCAACAGCATGGACAATACACCCTCAACAGTGACCTGACTCAGTGTGTCATTGTACCCCAACAGCATGGACAATACACTGTCAACAGTGACCTGACTCAGTGTGACATTGTACCCCAACAGCATGGACAATACACCGTGAACAGTGATCTGACTCAGTGTGTCATTGTACCCCAACAGCATGGACAATACACCGTCAACAGTGACCTGACTCAGTGTCTCATTGTACCCCAACAACGTGGATGGTACACCATCAACAGTGACCTGACTCAGTGTGTCATTGTACCCCAACAGCATGGATGGTACACCATCAACAGTGACCTGACTCAGTGTGTCATTGTACCCCAACAGCATGGATGGTACACCGTCAACAGTGACCTGACTCAGTGTATTCCCCAACAGCATGGACAAGGGACAGTTAATGGACCTCACAAACTTCATGAGTGACTGAGTAGGGTTTTACGCCGCTTTTATCATTATTCCAGCAATATCACAGCGGGGGACACCAGAAATGGGCTTCACACATTGTACCCCTGTCGGGAATCGAACCTGGGTCTACGGCGTGACAAGCGAACGCTTTAACCACTAGGCTACCCGACAGCCCCACTGACTTCATGATAATACAGCAGGCTGCTTTAAACCACAGTTTCACAAAGTTTTCCAAGTGCTACAACTGTCAATCGCAGAAAGTGAATATGGAGTTGTGGAACACTGACAATATGTTATCCTTGCTTTCATCATCAGATAAAGAAGCCTACATGACCAAGACTACATATCAATGCCATGGCAATCCTTAGGTCTGCGGATCCAGTATTGGCTTACTGTACATTGTACCCCAACAGCATGGACAATACACCCTCAACAGTGACCTGACTCAGTGTGTCATTGTACCCCAACAGCGTGGACAATACACCGTGAACAGTGATCTGACTCAGTGTGACATTGTACCCCAACAGCATGGATGGTACACCGTCAACAGTGACCTGACTCAATGTGTCATTGTACCCCAACAGCGTGGATGGTACACCGTCAACAGTGACCTGACTCAGTGTATTCCCCAACAGCATGGACAAGGGAGAGTTAATGGACCTCACAAACTTCATGAGTGACTGAGTAGGGTTTAACGCCGCTTTTATCATTATTCCAGCAATATCACAGCGGGGGACACCAGAAATGGGCTTCACACATTGTACCCATGTTGGGAATCGAACCTGGGTCTACGGCGTGACAAGCGAACGCTTTAACCACTAGGCTACCCGACAGCCCCACTTACTTCATGATAATACAGCAGGCTGCTTTAAACCACAGTTTCACAAAGTTTTCCAAGTGCTACAACTGTTAATCGCAGAAAGTGAATATGGAGTTGTGGAACACTGACAATATGTTATCCTTGCTTTCATCATCAGATAAAGAAGCCTACATGACCAAGACTACATATAAATGCCATGGCAATCCTTAGGTCTGCGGATCCAGTATTGGCTTACTGTACATTGTACCCCAACAGCATGGACAATACACCCTCAACAGTGACCTGACTCAGTGTGTCATTGTACCCCAACAGCGTGGACAATACACCGTGAACAGTGATCTGACTCAGTGTGACATTGTACCCCAACAGCATGGATGGTACACCGTCAACAGTGACCTGACTCAATGTGTCATTGTACCCCAACAGCGTGGATGGTACACCGTCAACAGTGACCTGACTCAGTGTATTCCCCAACAGCATGGACAAGGGAGAGTTAATGGACCTCACAAACTTCATGAGTGACTGAGTAGGGTTTTACGCCGCTTTTATCATTATTCCAACAATATCACAGCGGGGGACACCAGAAATGGGCTTCACACATTGTACCCATGTCGGGAATCGAACCTGGGTCTATGGCGTGACAAGCGAACGCTTTAACCACTAGGCTACCCGACCGCCCCACTGACTTCATGATAATACAGCAGGCTGCTTTAAACCACAGTTTCACAAAGTTTTCCAAGTGCTACAACTGTTAATCGCAGAAAGTGAATACGGAGTTGTGGAACACTGACAATATGTTATCCTTGCTTTCATCATCAGATAAAGAAGCCTACATGACCAAGACTACATATCAATGCCATGGCAATCCTTAGGTCTGCGGATCCAGTATTGGCTTACTGTAATGACAAGACTGTCTCCAGCCCACCCAATAGTGAGATAATGTGTTATTGTGTTATGAAGCCTTGTGTTACCACTCTGTCCAGACTCGGCCCTTCCACTAATCAGCTGGAGAAGACACTGCATACACAATTGATGCAGCCCAATGCCTGAGAGTCTGAACAAGGGGCTCTTCAGGGAGTCCTGATCTATTGCTGTAAGTAAATAGGCCAGTTAGTGCAATATCTTGGCATATTTCTTAGGGGAGGCAGCATTGGGATCATTGTTGGGATAGGACTAGTACTGTTGGTGGTTGGCATACAACTGCCTGAATCACAAATGTCTTAAAACACCAGGAAGATGAGTTCTGATGATGATGCAGACTGTTGTGGAAACTGAGATAAGGCATATATTATATCAGGTTTATTTTATACCGGGTCAGTGATGCACCTTATGTTACATCAGTGATGAGGCTTACTTTATGTCAGTGATCAGGTTTACTCGTATCTGCTTGTAAAACATCTTTGCTACTACATGTTATACACCATTTGAAAGCTCTAATCCTACTGTACATAAATATGAAAGTTATTTATCACATCTAAATAATGCTTTTACAAGTTCATTTTAAACATGAAATAGCTAATACATTCATAAAGTCCAGATTAAGATCCAAAGAAGCGGAGATATGATGATTTTTGGCAAATATAAGATTTCATAATATCCACTTACCTATTTCTTTTCGGTTTTCATTGTTTACATAATTGGAAAATTATTTTAAAAAGAATTGTCAATATTATCTGTCATCACCCATTTCTCGATAACAGTGGCTTATTGCTCTGAAATATGAGAAAATACCTCTATTTTCAAAGCTTCAAATGAATAACACATGCGTTGAGTCACTCGATGTTTGGCATCATTGGAAAGCTTATTAAAATCACAGTAACCTCCCCTGGAGTTTTTTTGTAGCTGTTACATGCGATTTTATTGGATAGAAATTGGTTTCTAATGAACACTTTCTTGGCAAAATCGTGATTCGTGATTGAACAAGGTTCGTGATTGTCAGATTTAAGCATGTAACCTAAGGCAGCCAATCAAATTACAGCAATGGTTGCCATCCTTGTGTATGAAAAATTTCAGATTTTGACGAAAGGTTTTAGTTAACTATGTTATTCTGAACGTTTTAAGCAGGAAATCACGACCTAAATTAAGAATATGCAACTTTGTGGATATACCATGCTAGGTTACGAGCTATGACAGATTTCTCATGCATATATTTTGGCATTAAACATCGTCTCCAAGCCTAGAAATTGAGTCGACGAAAGCCGAGATGTCATTTGACCTACATAACCTGTGATCGCACGAAAATAATAATTAAGATGTAAGTTTGACAACTTTCAGATATGTTTTTGTTGATTTTATTCATTACTTTATATATTTATTTAAAGATGAGCTTGAAAGGTCTTTGTTTTGTTTTTGACGTGTTTGATATAGATCTGTCATCGAAGTGTGTGTCTGAGAAAAAACATTTTCAATAACATTGTGGGAAATATTAAATAAATTTTAATATGTTGATAAAATATGATAAATTGAACTGAAATATGTATTTCAGACATTGAGAAATGTATTAGATTTAACAAAGAAATGATATGACAAATAGGCTAATAATATTATATACTGTTTTGACGTGGCTACAGCTTAGCCATTGTACTGGCCTGTGGTGTCTGTGGGGGGTTATGTTACATCTAAAAATGATGATTAATTTGAACTATATCTAATTTATGGATATTTGTATATACTCTCTTAAAAAAAATGTTTATAATTAAGTTCAGGTAGATAGTTGTAGTATTTTCATTCGGAAGCTGGATATATTCATTGTTGAACTGGTGACCTACCTGTCATGACCAGGGCCCCGTTCCATAAAGCCATCTTAGCGTTAATGTGATCGTAACTCCCATACTTTAACACTGGCTTACGAGAGTCATAGTGCTAAGATCACTGTGTGGAACGATGCCCAGCACCATAGCCGACGTAATAGGCCTAACGACAAACACGTTTTGAGAAAAACTATTTCAAGTTAATTTTACAAATGAGTAGCTGAAACAAAGAAATGGCAACAAACATTAAATATAACATCATATTCACCGAAAAATAAAGGTCAGTGATACACAAAGCGGATGTTTATATTTTATTTTTACTTTACCTGCTGATTTTAAGTACTTCCTGTTTGGAACAATGGCGTCGACAATCGTTTTTACTCATCAATAATGTGGAGCTGCATTATCACAAATATGGAGATATATAAGTTAATACGTGCAAGCCTGCACGTGGTATTATTTGTAAGAGACATATATATCTAAAGGGGTAAAATACTGAAAGAAATTGTTTTTCTGCGTATAGCCACTATTTTCAGTAACAATAGATAGTAAATGTTGCAGTATAGCCACTTTTTTCAGTAACAATAGATAGTGAATGTAGCAGTATTGCCACTATTTTCAGTAACTAAAGATAGTGAATGTAGCGGTATAGCCACTATTTTCAGTAACAATAGATAGTGAATGTAGCTGTATAGCCACAATGTTCAGTAACAATAGATAGTAAATGTTGCAGTATAGCCACAATGTTCAGTAACAATAGATAGTAAATGTTGCAGTATAGCCACTATTTTCAGGAACAATAGATAGTGAATGTAGCAGTATAGCCACTATTTTCAGTAACAATAGATAGTGAATGTAGCGGTATAGCCACTATTTTCAGTAACAATAAATAGGGAATGTAGCGGTATAGCCACAATGTTCAGTAACAATAGATAGTAAATGTAGCAGTATAGCCACTATTTTCAGTAACAATAGATAGTGAATGTAGCGGTATAGCCACTATTTGCAGTAACAATAGATAGTGAATGTAGCTGTATAGCCACAATGTTCAGTAACAATAGATAGTAAATGTTGCAGTATAGCCACTATTTTCAGTAACAATAGATAGTGAATGTAGCAGTATAGCCACTATTTTCAGTAACAATAGATAGTGAATGTAGCGGTATAGCCACTATTTTCAGTAACAATAAATAGTGAATGTAGCGGTATAGCCACAATGTTCAGTAACAATAGATAGTAAATGTAGCAGTATAGCCACTATTTTCAGTAACAATTGATAGTGAATGTTGCCGTATAGCCACTATAGATAGATAGTGAATGTAGCTGTAAAGCCACTGTGTTCAGTATCAATAGATAGTAAATGTTGCAGTATAGCCACTATTTTCAGTAACAATAGATAGTAAATGTTGCAGTATAGTCACTATTTTCAGTAACAATAGATAGTGAAT